CTCAGCTCTTCAGCTCAAGGCTAGCACTCTACCACTTGAGCCACAGCGCCACTTCCGGCTTTTTCTGCATATGTGGTGCTGAGCAATCGAACCCAGGGCCTCATGAATGCAACGCAAGCACTCTACCACTTAGCCACCTTCCCAGCCCCTCTATGAGACTCTTATCTCCAATTAACCACCAGAAAACCACAAATGGAGCTATGACTTCAAGTGGTAGAGTGCTAACCTTGAGCGAAAAGGAGTTCAGGGACAACACCCAGGTCCTGAGTTCAAGCCCCATGACCGATCCCCCCCCCCTAAAAAAAAAAGCATTCAAGTTGGGCACTATTGGCTCACACCTGTAATCCTAGCCACTCAGGAGGCTGAGACCTGAGGATCAAAGCCAGCCCAGGCAGGAAAGTCCTCTATGAGTCTCTCATCTCTAAATAACCCACTAAAAAGCCATAGATTATGGCTCTAGTGCTGGTCTTGAGTGAAAAAGTGAAGGGACAACACTAAGATCCTGAGTTCAGGCCCTAGGACCGGCACACACACACATGCACGTACACACACATACAAGTACACACACAAACATACACACGCATGTATACACATACACATGTGCATGCACACACACATCTGGACACCAGGTCCTCAGGGCTCCCCAGGAAGCAATCCCAACCATCTGCCTCCTGCTGAGGTCCTGAGGTTCAGTCAGGCCTGGCCTGTATTCCCTGCCCTCAGCTCCGGGGCCTGTGCCATCTGCTCTGCTGCTTGTCCAAACTCCGGGGTCTCTTCCGTACCGCTGGAGGACAGTGGCGTGTACAGGCACTGGGCAGAGGCCACAGTCCACTGATGTTGCATGTCCCAAGGGAGCCTCCTGCATGGATCTCAGCTGGGAGGTGAGCTGTTCTCCCCAGGAAGTCTTGACGGCTGGCTCAGGACCAGGAGGGAGGAAGCAGAGAAGGGGAGATCACACTTCTTTTGTTCTCTCTTTAGGGTTTGGGCCCAAGCACCCCTTCACGTGTTCCGTGTTCAAGTCTTCATACTCCGGCTGGAGACTGTCTGGTTCTGGCATGGGGTTGGGATTGTTCTGTGCAGGTTTGCCCGTGCGGGGTCACAGCAGCTGGATGCCACGGTGGACTGTGGGGTGGGAGGCCCGATAGGTTCAGAGGGAGGCCAGGGTGCTGTGGAAGCCTGAGGGGGAGAGCCCCTGCTGGGCTGCGGTATGTCAAGATTTCTCACTGGACGGTTTTTCTGCTTCCTGTGTGAGTATCTGTGTCGTCTTGGCATGGGTGTAGGGGCAGCCCCGCACAAGGACATGAATTTTCCTGAGGGACCTGGCCAGGTCTGACCACTGCTTGAGCAGCTCAGGACAAGTTCTGTGCACTCACTGTGGTCTCTGGGGGGCAGCTGGGGATTGATGAGGATGGAGCAGTCTGCTGTCAGCTGAGAAGAAGACGGACTAGGTCTTACGGCAGGGTGATTCCGGCTGTGACCTCCAGCCCTGTCTTGGCCTGGAGGCTGCAGCTGGTCGGAGCTGACCCTTGCTATGGAGGTGTCCTCAGTTGTTGGTCAGATGCAGGGCAGGGCTGGCTGTCCATCCTAAGGCCCCACTCTGCTAATGGTGTGTGGTTTCCCACTAGTGCTTCTTGAGATGCTTATTCTATCTTACATCCATCCATCTGTCCACTTGTCCATCCTCCCATGAATCTAGCCACCTGCAAACCCAACTACTCTTCTACCACCTGTCTAGCCTTCTAGACTTTTACTATCGTCTACCATCCATCCATCCATCCATCCATCCATCCATCCATCCATCCATCCATCCATCCATCCATCCACCCACCACCAGCTCCTAACTACAACTCATCTATTTATCCATCTACCCAATAATTCACTTTCTCCATCCATTTATCCATCCACGTACTGTGTACCCACCCACTCACTCACCCACTCATCTATGAATCTAGCCTCTCATCTATGAGTCCAGTCCAGTTGTTCACTCATTAACCACCATTCATCCACCCACCCATCTACTCAAGTAGCTATCTGCCTATTGATCTATCTGTCCACCTGTAGTCTATCCAGCCATGCATCCATTTATCCATTTATCTACCCACCCACCCATTTATCCACCTCACCCAACTACCCTTCCCACTGTCTACTGATGCACTTATCTGTCCATCTGTTGGCCCACCCACCATCTGTTGGTTCATCCGTCCACCCCATTCTAGTGGTAGACCAGGGCTGAGAGAGTGGTCAAACCTTCTCACATGAGTGGAGCTGCATTAAGCCTGGAGGATGCTAGGATTTGGGTGCATGGGAGGGCAAGGCACGGGCTGAGCTGTGCATAGGCTGGAGGTGGAGTAGGCAATGGAGGCTGAGCAGAGAGAGAGGACTGGAAGGGGGCCAGCTAGCTTGTACAGCCTTCACCTCATCATAAAGATCCCCCCCCCCTCCTGGCTCTGAGTCCTATATGGCCCTGGCAGGCTGTCTCTCTCTGCTGCTCTTCCCATCCTGGCAATCGGCTTGTCTTTGTTTGGCTGTGACAGAAATTAATTGGATTTACAATTCCACTCTCTAGGGCCTTTGTGGCCCCACAGAGTGATGCTGTATAATTTTTCTCATCTTAACAGTCTTGTGTTTTGTCTCTGCTGGGCAGGGCAGGTGAAGGAGACAACAAGAGGTGCAGAACTGGGATACTGGAAGAGGCAGAGCAGGGAGAAATTTAGGAAAATCATTCATGCATGCTCATTTCAAGAAATTGAGACCACAAATCTTGAGATTACTATTGTGTTATTTTGGTGGGCACCAATTCTGTGTGTGTGTGTGTGTGTGTGCACGCACATGCATGCACACTGATACTGGGACTTGAACTAGAGACCTAATTGCTATCTATCCTGTAGCTTTTTTTTTTTTTTTAACTCAAGGCTGGCCATAACTCTACTTCTGGCCTATTTTTGGTGGTTAATTGGAGATAAGGGTCTTATGAACTTTCCTACCTGGGCTGGCTTTGAACTGAGATCCTCAGATCTCAGCCTTCTGAGTAGTTAGGATTGACAGGTGCGAGACACCTGTATCTTTCTATAGCAGCCAACGCCCCGCGACACCACCTTTCTGTTAGGAACCCAGATGCAGAAATGCTCTTGGTGAACAGGGCTCAGGGGCTGTAATGATGTCTCCAGAGCTAATTTTCCTGGATGACAGGAAGTAGCCCAGATGAGACTGATACTTGGGGTTGGAGCAGATTTAGCTTCTGTGTACTAGTTGGAAAATATATGTTAATTTGAAAATGAAAAAAAAATTCTCAAGCCAGGTGCTGGTGACTCATGCCTGAAATCCTACTTCTCAGGAGGCTGAGATCTGAGGATCGCAGTTCCAAGCCAGCCTGGGCAGCAAAGTTCATAGACTCTTTATCTCCAATTAACCATCAGAAAATGGGAAATGGCGCTGTGGCTCAAGTGGTAGAGTGCTCGACTTGAGCTGAAGAGCTGAGGGACAGCACTCAGGCCCAGAGTTCAAGTCCCATGACTGACAAAAAAATATAAAGAATAAAAAATAAAGTGAAAATTTGGAGAGAGTGGACATGGCTGATGTGACATTTGGAGAGAGACAGGACCGCAGGGAGCCTGTTCTGGCAGTGGGGTTTCAGCCTGAAAGGGAGAAAGCGCTCTGCCTCTGGTGTCTAAGTCAGCCTGGATGAGTCTTTGCAGCCTCTTCTCTGGTCACTTGTGTGGGGACCAGTTCTTTAGCTGGCTGGTAGATAAGTTACCACACTGGCTGCTCAGCCCTGTGCAGGGCTCTGCATCGAGATTTGTGCTCTGTCGTATGGTAGGGGAGAGTGAATTCCTTTAGGGAATTCCTTTAGGGTCTCCTGCTAGCCAGGGCATCATGGTGGCCTGTGACCCGAGGATACATGCCTCCACCGTCACGGTGATGGGTGTGAGGCTAGAGTGGCATCGAGGAGCGGGATGGAGCCCACCGGGAGAGTTCCATCTGGAGCACACTGTGTCCTCATCTGTGGGCTACTGAGGTTGGAGCCATGGGGTCGGGGGCACACGGACCAGAGGCCTCAGGCTTGAGGTCCCCTGCAGGTCTGTGACACAGCACGGTTGGCCTGGGACTGCAGCCCAGCTCCGTGCACTCTCGCTGGTGGAGGGCAGCCCCTGTCCTGCTTGAATGTCTGTGTCCTGTGACTGTCAGCCTGACCCCTGGCGAGGAGACACTTCCCACTGGCACAGAGCAAGGCTGCTGTCTTTGAACTGGCCTGTGGGGCTGCAGGGAGTTTTTTGTTTCTTTCTTTTTTTTTTTTTTTGTCAGTTGTAGGGCTTGAACTCTGGGCCTGGGCGCTGTCCCTGAGCTCTTCAGCTCAAGGTGAGCACTCAGCCGTTTGAGCCACAGTACCACTTCTGGTTTTCTGGTGGTTAATTTGGAGATAAGAGTCTCATGACCGTTCCTGTCCGGGCTGGCTTTGAACCTCGATCCTTAGATCTTAGCCTCCTGAGAAGCTAGGATTATAGGCGTGAGCCACTGGGGCCTGGGAAGGTTGGATTTTTTTAAACAGGCAAGTGTCTCTCTGAGAGATGCGTGGGTTTGGCCTGGCCTCCCCCAGGCTTTCTGCCTGGCCTCCCTCTTGGTCTAATGGTCCCTCGGGAGCCTGTGCCCAGCTCCCACAGGGTGCTCTGCCCACGGGAGCCTCCCTGTCAGCTGTAGATGGTGGCAAGAAGGTGAAAATTTGGGACTGTAGGAAATGAGTCATTGCTTCTTTCCATCCTTCCTAGAACCTTCGCTGGTTATGAGTTCAGTTGACACAAGAGAAAAAGATTTTAATTTTACACATGCATGCAGGAGTCCCTTGACAGTATGAGACTTAAGATGGGGGCAGGTGGTTCATTGGAGATATGAACCTCATGGACTTTCCTGCCTGAACTGGCTTCAAACTTCCATCCTTAGATCTCAGCCTCCTGAGTAGCTAGGATGACAGGCGTGAGCCACTGCCTCCCAACTCTGTCCTCTAGGTTTTGACAGCTTGGAGGCAGTTCATTTGGTGGGGTCCTCCAGTGAGGAGATGGTGGCCAAGACAGCCACAGAGGCGTCGGCTGCCCTCAGGTGCTGGCTGGAGGGGGTGCAGTGTTGGGTCAGGCCACTTAGGGACACAGTCGGTCCAGGACGGAGGGGTTGGTGCAGTGGTGCAGTTGTGGCATGCCCCTGTGGCTGTGGTGGCAGGAAGGACCTCTCCCTTGACATGTTTCTTGGTGACCAGAGCTTTCCAGTCATGGCCTTTAGACCAGGTCTGCACACTGCGCCTGCTTGGAGCCAGGAGGAGACAGCAGAGCCTCACACTAGGGCAGCTGAGACTGGTTTCAGCCTGTCAGGGCTTGTCCTGACTATGGGCTGGACCCTGAGGACTGTGCTGTCAGCAGGCAGGCAGCCTCCCTGAGTTCCCACCACCCATGTTCTCCTGGGGGAGGGCAGCTGGTGCTGGCCACCTGTCCCCCCACCCCGCATTGAACAGTAGGGTGTCCAGGGTACCCTACATCCAGTTTCCACAATGTGACTGCTATGCAGGTGACAGCAACATGGTGACAAAAGACAAAAGCCGGTGCTCCCTCTCCCTCCCCCTGCCCAGGACCCTCCTTTGCTAGTGGAATGTGGGGGGTCTGGGGCCCCTGGAGGGGCTGATTCCCATCTGTGGCTCAGGGCTTCCCCCTCAGCCCCTCCCTGGTGTTCAGTGTCTACTGCCTGCAAGCCTGTGATGCTCTCCAGGGCCACACAGGCCCCTGGGATCGATTGGGCAGCCCCAGGCCGGCCAGCCGTGGATCTGCAACTGTCTTCACACCTCCTTCTCTCCACAGGCCTTTTCCCTCGGAGGAGACCGCGGAGAGCGATGATGACGTCTACCGCAGCCTGGAGGAGCTGGCCGAGTAAGGAGGGAGACGGAAGGCACAGGGCAGGGGTGACAAGAGGTCCCCGGGGCCCAGCATTCGAGGGGAGCCCGGCACCACCCTCCAGGCAGAGCTGCCCTTGGCGGTGGCTGCTTCTTAGTGTCAAGCACGGGCAGCCCTAATCACACAGCCGTTGCCTTCTAGAAGGCCACCAGCTTGACTGGTGGTAGAGCCGGTGGCCACAGGTCCTGTGGGCTTCCTGCACGGGGCTGGGGAGAGGGGAAGGTTCTTACTTCTGTGGGGTGGCAGCAGTGGGGGAGATGTGTCCCCATCTCTTGCTGACCCCTCGTTACCCACATATCTGTCTCTCTTTAAGGATTTCTTAGTTACACCTGCGCACAGCCATTTCCAAGCTGTGCTATTTCTCTAAAGGGACCTAAAGTCCCTGGCGTAGCTCTGCAGGCCTGTTGTTGGCAGGGAAGGGCCTGAGGCCTGGCTGAGCTAGGATGCTGGGATGGAAGACATGAGAAACTCCATCCTGTTGAGGAGGGATCCAACATACCCAGCCCTGGGCTTGTCCCCTGTGTCCCCCGGGCAACCCCCCCAGATGCTCATTGGAGCCCCTCTGGGCTTCCTGACCACCTGCCTGCCTCGTTCTTGTCTGAGACAGTGTTTCTTTGTTCATAGATAAACTGTGCATTCCTTCTGGGCAGCCTCCTACCAGTTCTCTCTCCCCCTTCCTCTCAGCTCAGGCTGGGCAGGGGAAAGTAATGCTTGGTTATGGAGCTCCCTCCCTGGCTGTGGCTGTGCCTCTGTGCTGGGGATGGGGCCCGCCGCACCCCCGAAGCTGCCCCTAGGGCACAGTGAGTTTGCTCCTGCAGGATCTCTCACTATATGAGTGCAAAGGCAGCCCAGATTCAGCACAGGCAGCCACCTGGCTGCCCAGTCTCGTGCAGTTCTGTGAAATAATTTTCCAGAGCGAGCCTAGTCGAGCTCCCCCCAGCAGGCGGTCACAGGGTCTACGGTCAATCCACAGGTAGGACATCTGGTCAACCCCTCGTGGGTTACAGAGCACTCCAAAGGGGGAGGAACAAGGAATGGTATGCCAGGGCCTGGAGCCTTCCTCTGTCCAGACCCCACTGCACCCCGGCCAGTCTCAGGAGTTGGAGAGAGACGTAGAAAACTTCACAAAGCGTGTATTCCGACACCTAGGGCCTCCGTAGCAGGTGGACCCAGTGGGGAATGGAGTCCCAGGGCCAGCGGAAGGAAGGGCTCCCGGAAGAACGGGCCCAAGGAGGGAGTCCAGGGGCCTGAGGCCTGTCCTCTGCTCCCCGTAGAGGCAGTGCTTACTGAGCACTGGGCTGGGATTCTGCTCCCCTCCGCCTCCCTCATTCCTGGCATTCTTCACCTCAGAAATGTTTCTCATCTTCCACATCCTGGTCTTCAGGGCCCCTGCTCTGGGAGGCCTCCCGTGCCCCACCTGGCTGGCATCGCCACCCACAGCGCCCCCACCCTCAGCGGGCCTCTGGTCATCTAGGGAACATAGCAGGATTAGGCGGTTAAATGTCTCTTACAAACCAGAAGTTTCCAAAGCCAGCCATGGCAACCCAGGAAGGACGACAGCGTTGGGGGCCAGTGCGCCTGCTCCCCACCGCACAGCTCTAGGTGACACCTGCCCACCTGCTTTCTCCACTTGACAGAGAAGGAAAAGCTCTGAGGAAGAGACGTCACTGACCCGTTAGCCACAGAGTGCCCCCAAGTCGTGCCCTGAGAGATCTGGGAGACAGGCCAGTGCTGAGGGTGGATCCTGTGGTGCCATCTCTCCTAGACCTCCACTCTCAGGCTGGGGGGTGTGTGCCTTCCACAACCAGGGCTGCAGGTTGCTGTCCTTCTCTGCTGGCTACGAGGGATGCTTCTGGAAGGCACAGATCCCCAGCCTTACTGGCCTCTGGCGGGAAATCTGAGTGTGGACTGGGCACACTCACATCCCAGTGGGGGGCAGACGCAGGCCAAGCAGGCCCCTTCCCAGTGGGGGGCAGACGCAGGCCAGGCAGGCCCCTTCCCAGCGGCTTGTGGGACATGTTCAGCTTGAGGATTTGTAGCAAAGCCTTTTGTTGTTTTTGTTGTTGTTGGTTGTGGGGCTTGAACTCAGGGCCTGGGCGCTGCCCCTAAGCCTCTGTGTGCTCAAAGCTACCACTCTACCACTTGAGCCACAGCGCCACCTCTGGGGTTTTGAGTGGTTTCTTGGAGATGAGTCGTCTTGGGGACTTTCCTGCCTGGGCTGGCTTTGAACTGCGACCCTCAGATCTCAGCCTCTGGAGTAGCTAGGATTATAGGCGTGAGCCACTGGTGCCTGGCTAGTTTTGAGAATTTTTTACATGGTGAGTCAGGCCTTGAGCCTGGGAGCCTTCCCCCCCTCCCCCCCCGCCTTTTATTTGCTCTAAAACAACATGGCATTGGTCTCCTGGCAAAATGAGTTGGGGATATGTGGCCTTGCCCAGCCCAGTGGTCTTCTGTGACATTACGAATGAGCCTTCTTAATCTTTAGGATTGCAGTTACTGCAAAAAGCAGACCATAAATTACAGGGAGGGGAATGAATTTGAATCTTTAACTTGCGGTTTTGGTCCCAGTGGCTCTAGTTTAATAAATTTTTCATGTTCTCCTTTCACTGAAAAGCAAGATTTCCTAGCATCCTGTCTCTGTGGACCTGGTATTGATATTTAGCTGTTGTACAAACAGATCTGCCATTTCTTACCTACACTGTGCTGGGGAGGGGAGAGGGGGGCAGGGCGGCTGGGGAGAAAGGCACAGACATCCAGGAGGGCAGACCAGACCAGTCCACAGGACTCTCCTGGCCACCCCAGCCTCAGATCCGCACGTGGGCACTGAGTCTCAGAGGTGGCCTATCTCTTCCCCCAGGGTGCTTGGTGGGTGTGGGTTTGGACCAGTGAAGGACTGTGATGACTAGTGTTCATTCATTCATTCATCAATCACCTGGTTTCTAAGCAATGTTTGTCCAGCAGGGGCCAGGGGGCTGGAGTGTGAAAATGGAGGTGAGCCAGCCCGTGGCCTGAGACCTTACACTGTATGGGGCAGGTGAGAGCACACAGTGTGGCGGGGCTGACGAGGGGTGAGCACAGGCTGCCTCTGCCCCCCTGGCCCAGCGCTGGGTGTCTGTTGAGGGCGGAACCCCATATCCACTGTAGGCTCTTCCTACAGGGGCACTCTGGAGCCTTTACTATACCTAAGTTCCCTTTTCTGTACCTGCCTCGTGGGGCCACTAGGAAGGTGGATGCTGCCCTTGGGTTCAGGGTGAGCTGGGGCTGCCATAGGCTATCTGTCAGGAAGAACTTAGGTGTGCAGCCAAGTCAAACGTGAGCCATGTATGTGATTAGCCAGGTCAGAAAGTAGAAAGGAAAAAGTGGATGACGATGGTGATGATGATGATGATGATTTGGGGTACTGGAGTTTGAACATGGGGCCTCACAAATGAGTCTGGTTTGAGCTGATCCTGGCCACGTGGAAGGCATAGGAAAAGGAGGATAGAGGTCTGAGGCTGGGCCAGGGTGAACGTGCAATGGTAAAAATGAACTGTCATGAGTGGCTCACGCCTGCAGCCCTGGCTACTCAGGAGGCTGAGATCTGGGGATCATGGTTCAAAGTCAGCCTAGGAAGGAAACTGTGACACTCTTTATTTCCAATGAACCACCAAAAATCTGGAAGTGGAGCTGTGGCTTAAGTGGTAGAGTGCCAGTCTAGCAAATACGAGGTTCCGAGTTCTAAACCTCAGTCCTACAAAAACAGCAACAACAAAAGAATAATGTTTCATTGAGCCTAATGGATCTGTGGCAGATGTAGTAGACCGGCCGTCTTTTCTGTTACACGCATTCTCTTGACTCGGGGTGTGGTTTTCTCTCAGCCTGGTTCCAGTCATCCCTGCAGGGTGCCCTGGCAGCCCTGGCCTGGGCTAGCGGGCGGTGCAGAGGGGCCTGGGATCCAAGCCACCTTCCCAGGAGCAGAAACACCCCCCCTCCCTTTGTGAACAGCTGCATTGGACTAGGGTTAGTTTTCCAAGTTTTCTAAGCCGGCCCTTGAGATCACGGAATAATGTGTAATCAAAATAATAAGAGCAGCTGCTTGAAGAACACCAACACAAAAATATAGCCACTTAAAAGTGCTTTATTAAGCAAAAGAAGCCCAAAAGGAGAGAGGCTTGTTTATAAATTGCTCTAACCATCACTACCTTGAATTTGCATAACGGCTGCTCTGGGGGCAGGGAGACTTAGGCACCGTGCGCAGGAGCAGAGCAGGGTGGGGAGGGGGTGCATGGGCTGGGGTCCGCAGGCTTCTCTGAAGAGGGAGGGTGGGAGCGTGCGGGGCAGAGGTGCTGGGGCCGGGGATGCGTCCCGAGGAAGCGCTCTCACTGCAGGACCTCACGGGTGCTGATGAGGCCAGAGTGCCGAAGGAGGGCCTCTGTCCACGCAGGAGGAGCAGGGAGCCCCCCCTACCCCACCTTCCCAGGCTGCGTGCGGGGCGGCCTGTCGTGGCCTGGTCCATGGCAGCATCCTAGAGCTTGGAAGGGGAGGCCCCGGAGCCCTAGGCCACTCTGCTACAGCGCCACAGGCAGGGATCTCAGACGGGGCGTGGCCGCTGTGTGGGCAGAAGGCCAGTGCCATGGAAAGCCCGGACAAGCGTCTGCCTGGGCTCAGGCCAGCGTGGCCCGCGTGGACCTTGCCTCGTGTCCCTTCAGCTCCTTCGAGGGCCCCAGCTTCTGTCCGCAGTGGTGCTGTCCTCCCGGCCGGCTGTCACTGTGAGCGTCCAGTCGGTGTGGTGGCCTTGCTCAGCTTGGCTGTGATGTCATTGTCCTTCCGTGTCATTGTGCCACAGCAGGGACCGTCATTTGTCTGCCTGCGTAGGACCGTGCTTCATAAGTCATGAAACACCTCCGCAGCTTTCAACACCCCGCACTGGCGTCGTTGGGGGTCATTTTGAAGGTGAATGGGTGGACAGGTGCTCCTGTGGGTTTGGGGTGTGTAGA